TCCTTGGCCCTGACCGTCGGTGTGGAGCTCGTCCAGAGGCGGAGTGTCCCGAGCCGACTATTGCGACACGTGGGCTTCGCCCTAGGTTGTCGGTCTCCGCGTGGGGGACGCGGCGGCTGAAATGTATCGTATGGTTCGAAAGCCTACGGGACTGGCCTTCGCCGCGACGGTTTGCGAATTTCGGCATCTTGCCCTGTTTCCGGGCCCGCAATCCTCGCATATCTTGCCAGCTTCTCGGCAACAGCAGCCTTTTCCGCACTTGGAATTGCCAGTGCACTGGCAACACTGGCCGTCGGGGACGCCAGTCGCGGAGTTGCCCTTTGCGGGCATCACTGTTGAGAGAGCTACCAAGTCTACTTGTGCAAAGTTCACGAAACTCGGGGGAAAGCAGGAGCACAAAATTCAAACTCTACGTCACGGGACCTAAAGTCAGCTCGAAATCGCAAAGAACCCAAATTTACCTCGGATGACAAGCTGCGCATGACGTAATGTAGGAATTTCGCCTAGCGCTGGGTCTATGCCTGTTGCACACTCTTGGCCGTTATGAACTCTTGTTATTATTTGTTTTACAACGGAAGCTCAACAGTGCAGCTGCACAAATATGAAGAGGCCGATACTATATTGACCTGGCTAGAACCCTGCACTGCGATAAGAGAATGAAGAGAATGTGCACAATGTATTAAATACTCGTTTTTTATTTATCTTTCACCGACAGATGCCTTAGCCCCATGGGTGATCTCACTCATGGTCTACATGCAAACATATTATTATCCGCGTGTTATCTCTCATACACGGGAAGGTACTAGTTGCACCATATGCACACATGCATTCCAGGATCCGACTTGGAGCTGGCAGTGTTTTCTCCATTTTCCATGCCTGGACAGATTTCTTGAAGCGCTGATCAGGGTCTCTGTCCACTCGGGGATTGCCAATCGGATGTGAGTGGGAGATTCAGGTGCAACAAAACGTGGTGCCATCGTTCGACACTCCGTCTACTTGTTACGCTGGCCCTGAATCTCTTAGTAGTAGCAGTAGTAGTAGTTTCTATCCCCTTTAGCGCGAGCGTCGTACTAGTACGACGCACATAACATTAGTTGCATGCCCCACGACCGTCGTACTAGTACGACGCTGTAGAGCGAAGCTGCCTATCGTGATCGTGGGGTCCGTATCGAGTCCCAGTGGCTCTGTCGTGGACCGCTGGCTGTTCGCGGGCTGCTGGGGGCTGCCTGGAACCGGCACGTGATTCGAGGCGGGAAAAATCGAACGAAAGGAGACGCACGGGGAATAGTTTCAGGCGAGAACATTTTGGTTGAAAATGCTGCGCCGCGCGAGAGGAAGAACTGTGGACGAAGCGCTCCACGAGCTGTTTCTGAGTTCAGACAGCGATGTGGAGCCGTCAGTGAGTAGCGACAGCGACGAGGAGGGTCTATGGACGCCAGCAAGGGCCAGAGTTCAGAACGAAACTGCGCCTGATGTGAGTGGCGGAGCAAGCGCCAGTGTCGATGAGTACGTCGCGGAGCACGCGGACATCGATGTTGCGAATGAAGCGCAGCCGGCGGACGTCCGTGACAACAGTAGCAGCAGTAGTACTAGTGGCACGGAGAGCGACGATGATGAACAGGCGTCCGAGAGGTCGCATGTCCACATCCAGGAGCAGCTTGCCGCAGGAGACGATGGGAGCGAAGGTAATTATCTTTTCAATAGTATTTATTTGTTCGTGTGAATTTGAGTACGCTGTGTTTGCACTTTGAGCTGAGTAAAACTATTATACGTGGGTTTGTACCTTTGTTGAAAGTAGTCTTACTGTAATATTCCTGGCCATCGTTCAAGATCTGTTTGGCGTTATGCATATCGTAACTAGAGAATTTTCAAACAAAATGTTGCCTAAATTCCAGAGTATTTGAGACGTACATCAGCCTTCCTACACTGTAGGGCATCATGTGGCCTGATATTTCCTACATTATTCGTGTTGTGATGTATTAGGGCAATGGAAGATGGAAGAAAACCAGCCCTTGCAAGACTCGTTCACTGCTTTTGGATTTTGCATGCAACCACCGACACAGTAGACAGAGCACATTTTACATTTTGAGTTTGACCATTACTGGTCGAAATTGTCTTACCGGTTTCGCTGTCTAAGCAGCTCATCAGAGTAAAGTGAAGTAAAATGTAAAAACACAACAGAATTTATGCGGGTGAGAGTGGCACAAAATATACATAGATACAAGTAGGCCGCCAAAATGCTAGGGGCCCCAAGAGCGTTGGGAGTTCCTAATTTGGAAGTGTTGTATGCTGTAATTCTGTTATGAAATATATGTAGTAAAGTGGGCTAGAATTCCAATATGGGTGAATGCCTATATGGAACATGCTTTGTAATTGTACGTGAAAAAAGCATGCAAGCTTTGTAATTGTACGTGAAAAAAGCATGCAAGCCCAGTGTGTACATTATATCTGTATGGTAATGTGCCACTCTCACCCGCATAAATTCTGTTGTGTTTTTACATTTTACTTCACTTTACTCTGATGAGCTGCTTAGACAGCGAAACCGGTAAGACAATTTCGACCAGTAATGGTCAAACTCAAAATGTAAAATGTGCTCTGTCTACTGTGTCGGTGGTTGCATGCAAAATCCAAAAAAAGGCCCTGTACCTACCACACCAGTTGTCCCTGCTGCTGCTACCGCTGCTACTGCCACACCTGCTACTCCTGCCACTCCTGCCACTGCTCGTGGCCTAGTCGTGTCCTCCAGGCTTGGTGGGCGCAAGGGTCACTACCCCGCACCCGTACCTGCCTCTTGCGGCAAGCCTGAGGGCAAGTCGCAGCGCCGGTGTGTCGTATGCTCACACAATGGGGTTAGAAAAATGGTCACAATCTGCTGCCTGGACTGCGTGGACATGCCTGGCCTATGTGCCACTCCATGTTTCAGAATTTATCACACATGCGAGAAGTTTTAATTTTTCATTTATTTCTGTCAAAATCTTGAGATTTCGGGTTTTTTCAATTGCTCCCTTTCCGTGTACATATCCCTCTAAATCCTGTAAATATCATTGTTTTCATCTTTTCTGAACCTCATAGTCCTGTGTGATCAGGACAGAAGTCAATAAACTGAATTTTCAAAAATCTCAATTTTGCCCAATTTTGACTGCGTGGGGCAGTGTCAAATGCATGCGCGCTAATGAGGCTATTACCGGTATCTTACTAGGGGAGTTCCAACACACTACTTCATTTTTACTGGGAACCCTAGTTGGTCTCTTGCGCCGGGAATGCACACACACATACACACATACACACACACACAGTTATACACACATACACACCTGTCCTGTCCTGTCGAGCCACTGCCACAAGGGCGAAGTGGGCCCACATACACACATACCGGTATGTACATACACACACACACACACACACACACACACACACACACACACACACACATACACACACACACACACACACAATGTTAATTAAGCCATGGCATTCTCTCAGCGACCCACAAGCAACTCACTCATTCCCACTCAGCACACAAGCAACACCTTAGCGACACTAAAACCAATGAAGCAAATGTTACAGAGGAACTGCAGTAAAAATCCTATAATTAATAAATAATAAATATATAAAATCACTTTACTATGCAGAGACACGAAAAAAAGACAATAAAGTTTTAAAAGATCCAAGGTTCACATGAGACTCGGGCAAAAGCCGAATTTCGGAGACAGGATAACCAAGGCAAAAATACTAGCATGAGTAGAAGAACCCAACACTACAGCCGCATGGTAAAACATACACACTGAATTGGTGAGTTAGGCACAGAACTTGAAGAGGCTGATATACGCCGGCTGCCGGCGGCTGGCGAGCGGAAATGAAAATAAGTTAGACTGGTCGGCCAGGAATGCCAAGAGGGCGCACCGCCAGCCGGGTACGGAGATTCCAAACGAGAAAAAAAATATGTATATATACAGTGTGCGACAGACAGGCAGCATAAACCGGGACCAAGGTCAACGGCGCATGGAAAGACAAACAGATCCCAGATTGGTTTGGTCCGCAAACTGAGTGACAAGGCCAGATGAAAATGTATTTAGCTCGATCAGCTTGAAAACACCGAGAAAATTCTGCCTCAGCCAACGCACTACGGAAGGAACGCAGCTGTAGCAAATTAATACTCAAATCAGCGCACGAAAGCGACGGCCAAGAAAAACAAAGCCGTTATCAAACTGCATTAGCGGAGACGGTAACGCCTCGGTCGGTTTTCGGTGCAAGGAAACGATCAGTCATTTCTCAATTATAGATAATCGCCTGACTTCATGGTGGGGTGCGGTGTCTGGTTTCCAGATAGGTCTGCAAGTCTGAATATGGTGTATACATGTAGTATAGACCGGTATACGTCAGGGTGTCCATGACAACAGTGAGTGTGTGTGGGGGGGGGGGGAGCACCGAAACCAGCAAAAAAACTATGGAACAAACCCTAGGAGAGAAATCAACAGCAGAGCGGCCACTAGATTCACAAATTAGTCTAGACTCAAATGAAAATCAGTATACGCAATAAGCTCAGAAAGCATCTCTCTGTTGGGGTGGGTGGGGTAGGGCATTACAATGAGGTGAAAGTTTCCAACTCACCATCACAATACAAGTGTAGTAGCACGTTATAATCAGTGTGTGTGTGTGTGTGTGTGTGTGTGTGTGTGTGTTGGGGGGGGGGGCACTCAACACTAGCTGCAGTAGCTGCCGTTTACAGCTATACTCAATACGGTCATGCCACACAAGGTCGTGCAACACGAACGAGCGCACACGCATAACCTTCTGTGCACACACACACATGCAAGCACGCACGCACACACACTGACACACACACACACACACACACACAGGCACACGCCACACACACACACATACACACACACACACACACACACACACACACACACACATGCAAGCAAATCCATTTGGATACGTAAAGGACGTATGTTCATGTATGTGCACACCCCTAGTCCATCCACTACATCCACCTACCTCCTCAGCTCAACACGCAGGCGAGTATAGAGAGCATGCTTTTTCTTTTCCACTAATTTATACTTCAGATCATTCAAGCCGTCCGAACGCATTCTTGCCCCACTGGTTTTCAGCAACTTGAAACGTTGCGGATTAGGTTTAGACGACTGGAAGTGGTCGCGCTTTACTGTGGCAAAGCGACCGTCAGGAGAGGGCGGACGGGTAAACTTGTATCCGGCTGCTTTCCAACGTGTCAGGATGTCATCGTCTTCGCCGCCCCAGCCCCAGAAGCGATTTGCAAATCCGTTCATCTTCTCTACCTGGCCGGGTGACTGTTTGCTAACGCCACCAGTAAATGCAGCATACGGCAAGCCCCATCTCCATTTGTCTGTCCTCGCTGCCATGTGCTGTGGCTGTGGTCCACAACGATAGCTCAGCATCGGATCCACAGGTATGTTGTCAACGTCGTGAAATGATAAACATGTGTAGTTGCGCTCGGCCATAGCTTCGCGATATCCGACGTTGAATAACATTGCCCGGTTGAACGGCAGCTTGTCAACTTGATCAACAACGTAGATTGTGTGCGCCAACTTCTGTCTCTGCAGGTACGGGTGAATGTGCTGGAGAAAGATCAGCAAGTGCGCTTCGCGGTTACGAAATGGGATGACAATGGCCAGCGAATGCTCCACAGTACAACCATGCGGCTGCCACCAGCCGCCTTCCTTGATGTCGGTCACCTTGAGACGGGTTATCAGTGCATGTTCGTCAGGTACTGTGTTCAGGTCCGGCGTGAGTTGCATGTCGGGCACTCTCTCCACAGCGCAGCAACAGCTATTCTCACCACAAGCATCGTCAACGCATACTGTGGACACATTCGTGGATGCCGAGGTCAACCGGCCTGCTTTATGAACTGACCCAAAGGCAGCTTTCATCCTGGCTCGCATATGCTTCTTCTCGCATCGAGTGCCACACACCACTGAAAAGTCTAGCATACGATCAGAGAGCACAACGTCCACTGCAAGGAAGATCACGGTCAGCAACAGTACAAAGATGCAAAGATGCTTTGTTGTGAGCTGTTGTGGAGCCACACTGCCCTGCATCCTGGTGCAGGCCCCAACGACTTCCGGGCGCTTGGTCCGTCACGTCGTCAACAATCGATCTGCTTGTAGCATCACATGTTTCATTGATCACACTCCAGCAATAATAAAGTCACCAATGATCAGCGACAGGTCGGCAACGAGTCCGAAATTCAGTTGTGGTGCAGGCTAATAATACCACCGATCGAGGCGATACGACCGGACTGACAAGCTTGACAGAATAATTCTTGAGGCCGCCGTCCAGCTAAAGCAACACAAACTCGGAGATCCAAAGAGAGTCGCTACTTTTAGTTCAATCGTGTTCGCAATTCCTAAAGCACAGCTAACTGTAGTACCAGAGAGCTACGTGTGTACTATTATTGAATTAATTTAAAAGAAGCTTGTGACAGATATCCAATGTCTTGAACGCTTCTGCAGCGTGAAGTTCTGTACCAGTAAGAGGAGGGATGAGCATTGTAATGCGAAGGAGGCCTCAACATGCAACAGCTGATAAACCTTCCGAAAAATTTAATTTGCAAGCAATGACTTCGTTCCAAAAATTTAAATTGACAGTACAGATTATAGATACACATTTTGAAAGGCGACAACTGAGAAAAAGGTACGGTACTCGGTAGGACGTCAACAATTTCAGCTGTGCACGTGGACCGACAACTGAGAAAAAGGTACGGTGCTCGGTAGGACGTCAACAAATTGCTGTGAGCTAGCTGTGCACGTGAACCGACAACTGAGAAAAAGGTACGGTACTCGGTAGGACGTCAACAATTTCAGCTGTGCACGTGGACCGACAACTGAGAAAAAGGTACGGTACTCGGTAGGACGTCAACAAATTGCTGTGAGCTGTGCACGTGAACCGACAACTGAGAAAAAGGTACGGTACTCGGTAGGACGTCAACAATTTCAGCTGTGCACGTGGACCGCACAGAGTGGAGTATACTATCAAGAGTACATGAAAAGGTTTTCATGTACTCTTGATACTATTAAGCTCAGCTTTGCCCTCATCCGTGCGGCTGTTGCCAGTCTGCGAGGCCATCGGCACCGCGTGCCCTCAGATGCAAATGACTCTGCCCGATTTGCGGTTGCCATGAGCAGCATCGGTTAAAGCTCCCTCCCGAGGCTCCGTACTAGACTGTTTTCACAGCCATTTTTGCTCTCACTTCTCAGCCTTTTTTTGCTCTCTCGACTGTTTTCACAGCCATTAATTTTTTGCTCTCTCGACTGTCTTCACAGCCATTTTTTGCTCGTTTTTCTTCCGGTGCTGTTGAGGTTGCACTCGTAATTGTGTTTATTTTGCCCGTATAAGAGGCTTGGCAGTTGAAAAAAAAATAATTAATAGGTAGTGAAGGGTCTACTCGATTTGCATGATGTGTGTGTACCAGCAGGCCGGCGGCTAGGCCTGGTTACAACGAGTACGAGCGTTCGGACTACTCCCTATTTGCAACCTACAAGTACAAGTGCAAAGTGTGAGGTGCATGCTAGCAAGTGTAGGATTACCCAAGTACTCGTACGAGGGTGTTACCTCCCGAATATCATCCCGACTGCGTAGCAGGAGGGATGATATGAGGGTACGGTAACACCCGAGTACTCGGGTCAATATCCTACTTATCCCAGGTACATCTACGCATTTTGGGGATCGACGCAACTGCGTTCTGAATACAATTACCAAGGTACAGCTATACCAAAAACAAAATGCTGCCTTTCTTTTCAATCCAGTCAAGGTTTGAGAGCGATGGAGCTCGGGAGACAAGTTGCATTTTAGTAGTTGGACTAGAGAACTGACGAAGATTGCACTGTTATGATACATAGTCATTTGGTTCGAAGTAAGGGCCCTACTTCAAGTCACGGCGAGATGCCACGTCATTATGGAGGCTGGTGCTGACTTCCTTGTCATTGGATCGGCGTGGAACTTTCAACGGTTTGGGATCCTTGCTTAACACTGTCCGTGCAGGCAGTAACCACATTGTACATATCGTCGGACATTGGCACCAGTGAGTAAAGTGCATTTCGTTGTATCAAGACTCTTCGTTGTATCACTCTCGGACACTATGCAATCAGAAGAACGTTGATCTTGTTATATTATAGGCATACTGGATTTGTCGCAGCATCTACGTTTTAGATTGTTCTTGTGGTAATCGTACTGGATACAATGTCATGATAATCACTGCGGGTCGCATCTTGCATCCATATCCTATCTACATCACACATGGATTGCTGAGCTCTTCTTCTTTCACACTGTTGAATATTCTGTACAAGATTTTTCCTCTCACTTTCACGTCTTGTACTTTTCGAGTTGTTACGGTATCTCTCCTTGCAATTAGTAATTTTCACTCGGATGTTGATACTTTGTGTAGGTTTCGAGTTTACAAAGAGTGAATGAGAACAGATGCACTTCGAAGTCTCCTTTGCGTCGTAGTGTTGAGTTGAATAGTGATTGGAGTTCGTTGTTTGTTTGTGTGGAATCTGGTTTCGGACGTAGTCGCGGAGGTAAGTTCTCTCCGTTCACTTTTACTGTACCGACGGTGCACTCTGCATTGGCATGCTCCCACCCTCTCACGGTTCTGTGTAGTGCATTTTGTCCCTGGGTTCTGATCGAAAGGCTCCAGTGGCAAGATGCATTGCATCGAATCGAGAGGGGGTGGGGGCATGCCAATGCAGGGTGCACCGTAGTAGGTACGGTAAAAGTGAACCCAGTTAATAATGAATATCATCCCGCGCGGGATTGTATTGGCTATTATTTCCCGGTCAGCAAGGCTCCTGATTGGCTGAAACAGGCCTATAGTACAGTACCATGGTATAAAGGCCGATATCACCCCTGCAGCCCTGCTGCTCCATATCACCCCTGCTGCTCCATATCACCCCTGCTGCTCCATACCACCCCTGCTGCTCCATATCACCCCTGCTGCTCCATATCACCCCTGCTGCTCCATATCACACCTGCTGCTCCATATCACACCCGGCTGCTCCATATCACCCCTGCTGCTCCATATCACACCCGGCTGCTCCATATCACCCCTGCTGCTCCATATCACCCCTGCTGCTCCATATCACCCCTGCTGCTCCATATCACCCCTGCTGCTCCATATCACCCCTGCTGCTCCATATCACCCCTGCTGCTCCATATCACCCCTGCTGCTCCATATCACCCCTGCTGCTCCATATCACACCTGCTGCTCCATATCACACCCGGCTGCTCCATATCACCCCTGCTGCTCCATATCACACCCGGCTGCTCCATATCACCCCTGCTGCTCCATATCACCCCTGCTGCTCCATATCACCCCTGCTGCTCCATATCACCCCTGCTGCTCCATATCACACCCGGCTGCTCCATATCACCCCTGCTGCTCCATATCACCCCTGCTGCTCCATATCACCCCTGCTGCTCCATATCACCCCTGCTGCTCCATATCACACCCGGCTGCTCCATATCACCCCTGCTGCTCCATATCACACCCGGCTGCTCCATATCACCCCTGCTGCTCCATATCACCCCTGCTGCTCCATATCACCCCTGCTGCTCCATATCACCCCTGCTGCTCCATATCACACCCGGCTGCTCCATATCACCCCTGCTGCTCCATATCACCCCTGCTGCTCCATATCACCCCTGCTGCTCCATATCACCCCTGCTGCTCCATATCACCCCTGCTGCTCCATATCACCCCTGCTGCTCCATATCACCCCTGCTGCTCCATATCACCCCTGCTGCTCCATATCACCCCTGCTGCTCCATGTCACCCCTGCTGCTCCATATCACCCCTGCTGCTCCATATCACCCCTGCTGCTCCATATCACCCCTGCTGCTCCATATCACCCCTGCTGCTCCATATCACCCCTGCTGCTCCATATCACCCCTGCTGCTCCATATCACCCCTGCTGCTCCATGTCACACCCGTACACTACCCATTGGTACTCACACAAAATAGATCGACCTGGAAAAAAAAAAGTTCCTACGTTATTATTTTCTTAGTGCAATTAGGAGTATAATGGATGCAGACATGGCCAGACAACAACGAGTTCATGGAATTTTTAAGGATTTTTATGTTATTCAAAATCGATTTTCGTGTTCCGCTACAACGCTGAAGAAACGAGATATTTAGTGCAATACTACGACAAACATGGCGTGCACTAAATATCTCGTTTCTTCAGCGTTGTAGCGGAACACGAAAATCGATTTTGAATAACATAAAAATCCTTAAAAATTCCATGAACTCGTTATTATTTTCATACGTAATTCCGTAGAGCGAATTGGTACTCACATACTCGAATGCGTACTGTAGGCCTGTAGCTGAAACTGCATATTTTAGGATTTCACTGCCATCGCCAGCCCCCCCCCCCCCCCCCGCCATCCTCCGGCCAGCTGGCTTGGGATTGTGGGAGGGGTCCATGTGGAGGGGCTAGCGACAACAATGAATTCCTTTCATAATTAATTATGCAGTTCCATCTATAGTACGCATTATTATTATTATTATTATTATTATTTTTTGTTTTACATCGGAAGCTCAACAGTGCAGCTGCACAAATATGAAGAGGCCGATGGGACCAAAAAAAATATATAAAAAAAATAAATAAATAAACAATGTATAATATACATCAGTGTAAATGTTCATACATCAGTGTAAATATTCAAATGTTTAGCAAAAAAAAGGGATGAGTAGGCCTTGACGGATTATGCTAATATTTTCGTGAAATTATGCTTTTCGCATTGCTGAAAAAATCGCAGAATTATGCTATTTTAAAGTATTTTTATGCTAAAAGTTATCATATTATGCCGCATTATGCTCACATGTACATATGCTGCTGATGTATATGATGGTTCTGTGCAAAATACCAGGGGAATTGTTTTGTTGAGGGCGTTGTACTGTAGTAGCAAAAGTTCAATGGGGTCACCGCACCGTCCAGACGCGTCCGACCTAGCTACAACCGTCACTGATTGTAGTGGACTGGACATGTTATCAAGGGAGTCGTAAACCTACGACTTCCTGGTGCATCTACTTGTACTTGTA